ATCGATTCGGAAATATCAATCTTGGAGAAAATCGGGTGAACGGTTTAACCGCTGGCGTTGTTCACAGACGGACGGACAGATGGACAGACTTTTGTCGTCATTCTATTTTTCGGTATCAAGGGCCCGCAAAACATTGATTCTTGGTCCAGCACGTGATAGAGATTTTTTTCTAAATTTAGCGACTGGATTTATCCACTTTTTCATTAGCTGGGCTCTATAATAGTTCTTCTGCCGAAAATTTGCTGTTTTCTCGCGCAGTATTTCTCTCTACACCGTAGCGAGAAAGCAAAAATAGGTTTTAGTATGTTATAATTGTGTAATGAAATACCATCATCTATTACTACAGAGGAACACATAAGAGTTAGCCAAGTTTATTAAGTTCATTCCATTGAACAATACATTATAAATTTAAAAAAATAATTGCTGTTATCTAAAACGATTGACTCTTCACCACTTCACTTCAAACTTTTATTTAATTAAATAAAATTTCATACTGGTTTTTGCTTCTTCAAATAACTCTGTTAACTAAATGGAATACTTCATTGTTAGAGAGACGTTATTTGAAATTATCTATGCTATATTTTCTGATTTTGTTTAAAAAATGATTAGACGTGAATGGTCTCATTTGAAGTGAAACTTCTGTAACCGCTAATTTAATTTACAACTAACAAATAATTAGGGAACGTATGTGGCTTGGTAAAATATACTCTGATGCAGCCACTACATTTGTAAAGAAAGTGTAACATCAAGTTTCAATTGTAAAATTATTTTTATCATTTGCTTCTCAAAATAAATTTCAAAACAATTGGTTGAAAAAAGTCAATTAATGCTGTACAATGTTTCGCAAGTCTAGAGTGTGCGCCAGGTGTGTACCGTAACTGAAAAAAATAGATATAATACATTTCTACAACACAAGTAATATTAGTTATTGCAAGGATAGCACAGCTTCCCTTTAACTTAGCAGGGAATAATGTAATAGCAATCATTATTTAGTACTAATTTAATAAAATAATTTGAATTAGTACTCTTACCAAGGGATCTTCGGAAAAGCAAGCATTTTCAATAGATTCAACCACCTGATAAATTTTAGATTGATCAGCGGATGTTAAATTGATGGTATGATACAGAAGTTGCTGAAATCGCATACAAATGTATGGTTAATGCCACTTAATAAGTACCCTTTGTAGTATACAACAATTAACCAAATTCTACTTCACTTAGGTTACTTTTGTAGTTTAAAAAGTAAGCGGATAAACGTCTACCAAATTACATATCATTTTCCCAGAAAACTCCAAATCATTTATTTTTAAACTAATTCAACATGTTTCAGTCATTAAATGCTTTTTGTTTCATTTTTTAATTAGCCCTGCCCGTGCGTAATTAATCTGCCCGTCCGTCTGTTAACGCTAGCGGCTAAACCATTCAGCCTATTTCATTTAAAATTGATATCCCCGATAGATCTGGCTGAATTCGAAACCGATATTTAATTTTGGGGAGTACTTTATCCCTGGGACATTTTCCAAATTTCCAAAAACATTTCTTCGTCTTTTGTTAGATTTTTTTATTGAATAGTGTGACGGACGTTTAAAACCCTGAATTTTCGAAAATCACAAAAAAATCAAATTTTTACCAGCGTCTTTCTAAAACTAAAATATTAAACATAAAAATGTTTGCTCTTAATGCAATCTGTTTCTTAAAGATAGATTTTGAAATAAGGCAAGGCCTCTGGCGGAAGAGATTCAAGGCATTGACTGACTGGGGCGTTACAAGAAAAACGACATAACTTAATGCAGGATTACTCCAAATGTATACGCTCAATGCCCCAAAAAGCTTAAAAATAACAAAATAATATAAAATTTAAAAAAAAAATATTCAAACGTCCTGGAGAAGTGTGGATTGCAAGAGGGCCTTTTCTTGATTTTTCACATCATCTTAAATATAAGCATAATAGTAGCCTATTTTTTAGCCATGCCCTTTAATAGAAAAGACAGGAGGAAGCAAAAAAGGTAAATTTCGGTGTCCTAACAATTGTTTTCCGGACATCGGGACAGAATTTTTAAACACGGAGTAACCCATATTTTATAGAACTATACAAATCCTTTTTAAAAAATAACAATAGTAATTTATATGAACCTAGGCCTCTACTACATGTTTTAATTTTTGAGTGATAGAAAGTTTAATTTAAAAAAGTTTGTAAATACTCGGGAAAATGTATGAATAAACATGAAATATTGTAAGTAGAAAATATCAGAAACACACAAGAGTTGGCCCAAGGGTATCTGACAGTAGCTTTCTTACCTTCATTTTTTCTTTATATTCATCTGAATAAACATTTTTAATATCTTCGGGAATCTTCTCCATCTTCTTCTCAAGAATACTTGATGCACATTCCGTCAAATTTGTGCTGAAATTACATTCTTATTAAGAGAATTTGATGAACATTGTGTAATTAATTTTTAACTGCACAATAAATTATGTTAGTAATTTGTAAAATGGGGGCATGTCTACTAATTAGTGTTTACAAAGAAAATTTTCTTGTAATGTTTTAAATTTATTTTTGATTAGCGAGGAAAAAGTTCTCTAAATAAATAACCTATTTATACTTGAATATTGAAAAGAATATCACTTCATTTCAGATGTGTTTCTTACTAGTTAATAACATTACTTACCGGTAAATCCATGGTTCAATATTATGCACAGATATGGAAAATTTACTTAATTCAGATGTCAGTGATTTAGAAAATGCGAAAGTAGCAAACTTTGATATAGTGTAAGGTGTAAGACAGGTCAAAACCACTTCATCTATAGAAAGAAAAGAAAAGATGTAGGCTTATTCATTCATTACAAAATTTTGCAATTATCTTACAAAATGTCGTGGCATACCAGCTAAGCTAATTGACGATTCTTCCTTTAGATTGCCTCAATAATGGCAAAAATGCTTTTGTCGCTCTAATTGGACCTAATGTGTTGACATCCAAAATCTGTTTCAGATCATCAATATCCATCCATTCAGATTCAGCACATTGCAAAATTCCTGCATTATTTATCACAGCCCACAGTTCTGCAAAAATTTAAAAAATAAAAGAAATGTAGTTTCTTTATATCTCTTTACACTGAAAATATAAATATGCACAAGTTTCCCTTGATCCTTGGGACAAAGGCTGAGATGATACCCCCTTTTTTCTTCTGATAAAATCAATATTAAAAATTCTTCTGAATTTTAAATATAGTTTTTACCCACTCTTCAATTTCATAAACAATTATAGAACTATTTTGTAGAATAGAAAAATAATACATTTAGTAGTTAAATTTGTATAACGTACTGTAGTATTATTATTGTTTAGTATAGTACAGTACGTAAATAAAAAAATATTATAAAAATAGAAGATCCAGACATTTTCTACCTCACGTCTTTTAGAGGCTTGAGCACTTTAACAAATTCTGTATTCTTGAATTTTAACAATGCCAATGTATTCTTGTTTTTTAATTTAAATATATGCAAGCAGAGACCTGAAAACCAGAAAGGGCAGAGTGTTAGGGAACCGAAATAAGGAAGTAATAAATATGTCTAGTTGTTTCTACTCTGAGCGCCTCCGACCGGCATCTGGATTAGCGCCGGCAGGTGGTCTCTCTCGTCCTACGAACCTGACAACGTTCTTAGCCATCTACAAACTACTAGCTCGAGGCTGTTTGTGTGAAATGATGGTACTATCACTATGAAGTCGGCGCAAGACTTTTTTTCAGATGTTGCGTCTGCGTCGTAATGGCCAATATATTGCAGTCATCTTCAGAGCTTCTTCACTGCTACCTGATTTTTCTGGCTGCAGTACAGCACTGAAGGACTCTAGGCCAAGAAGGTGGCTAGCCACGAGCATCAGTTGAGGTCTGAAGAAT